TGGGTCCCCCGCGGCGGCGGGCGCGGCGCGCAGCCCCCAACCGCCACCCGCTGTTCCCCCAGTACAACTACCAGGCGGAGGTGGCGGAGAACCAGCCGGCGGGGACGGCGGTGGTGGCCGTGGCGGCCCAGGACCCTGACGGGGGCGAGGCGGGGCGGCTGGTGTACTCCATGGACGCCCTGATGAACAGCCGCTCGCGGGAGCTCTTCAGCATCGACCCGCGGGCCGGGCTCATCACCACCACGCAGGCCCTCGACCGCGAGAGCATGGAGCTGCACTACTTCCGCGTGACGGCCGCCGACCACGGGGCGCCCCGGCTCTCCGCCACCACCATGGTGGCCATCGCTGTGGCTGACCGCAACGACCACGACCCCGTCTTTGAGCAGGGCGAGTACCGGGAGACCATCCGGGAGAACGTGGAGGAGGGATACCCCATACTGCAGCTGCGGGCCACCGACGTCGACTCCCCGCCCAACGCCAACATCCGCTACCGCTTCGTCAACGAGCGGGCTGCCCATGCTGTCTTCGAGATCGACCCACGCTCCGGCCTCATCACCACCAGCGGGCCGGTGGACAGGGAGAAGATGGAGAGGTACTCCTTGGTGGTGGAGGCCAACGACCAGGGGAGGGAGCCGGGGCCCCGCTCCGCCACGGTCAAGGTCTACATCACGGTCCTTGACGAGAACGACAACACCCCTCAGTTCAGCGAGAAGCGCTACATTGTCCAGGTGAGGGAGGACATACGGCCCCACACCGAGATCCTGCGCGTCACTGCCACGGACCTGGACAAGGACAACAACGCGCTGGTCCACTACAACATCATCAGCGGAAACAGCCGGGGCCAGTTCTCCATTGACAGCATCACTGGGGAGATACAGGTGGTGGCCCCACTGGATTTTGAGGTGGAGCGAGAGTATGCCCTGAGGATCCGGGCCCAGGATGCGGGACGCCCTCCCCTCTCTAACAACACTGGCATGGCCAGCATCCAGGTGGTGGACATCAATGACCATGCCCCAATCTTTGTCAGCACTCCTTTCCAAATCTCTGTCCTGGAGAATGCTCCCCTTGGCCACTCTGTCATCCACATCCAGGCTGTGGACGCGGACTACGGCGAGAACTCGCGCCTGGAGTACAAACTGACGGGGGTCTCATCTGACACGCCCTTCGTGGTGAACAGTGCCACGGGGTGGATCACCGTCAGTGGGCCCTTGGACCGGGAATCGGTTGAGCACTATTTTTTTGGGGTAGAGGCACGGGACCACGGCTCTCCATCTTTATCTGCCTCTGCCAGTGTCACTATCACTGTCATGGACGTCAACGACAACCGTCCGGAGTTCACCCAGAAGGAGTACTTCATCCGCCTGAATGAGGATGCGGCAGTGGGGACCAGCGTCCTCAGCGTCACAGCGATCGACCGGGACGTGAACAGTGCCATCACCTACCAGATCACAGGAGGCAACACACGGAACCGCTTCTCCATCAGCACGCAAGGCGGGATGGGGCTCATCACTCTGTCTCTGCCGCTGGACTACAAGCAGGAGAGACGCTACGTGCTCACTGTGACGGCCTCCGACCGTACCCTGCGTGACAACTGCCATGTTCACATCAACATCACCGATGCCAACACACACCGGCCTGTGTTCCAGAGTGCCCACTACTCTGTGAGCATCAATGAGGACCGGCCTGTGGGCAGCACCGTGGTGGTGATCAGTGCCACGGATGATGATGTGGGGGAAAATGCCCGCATTACATACTACCTAGAAGACAACGTCCCTCAGTTTCGCATCGATCCAGACTCCGGGGCCATCACTCTCCAGGCAGAACTGGACTATGAGGACCAGGTCACGTACACATTGGCTATCACCGCCAAGGACAACGGGATCCCCCAGAAAGCAGACACCACCTATGTTGAAATCATGGTGAATGATGTTAATGACAACGCCCCCCAGTTTGTCAGCCCTCATTACCAGGGCATGATATCTGAGGATGCACCTCCCTTCACCAGTGTGCTCCAGATCTCTGCCACCGACCGGGATGCCCACACCAACGGGCGAGTGCAGTACACCTTCCAGAACGGGGAGGATGGGGATGGAGACTTCACTATAGAGCCCACCTCGGGGATTATTCGCACTGTCCGCAGGCTGGATCGTGAGAACGTTCCCGTCTATGAGCTGACTGCTTATGCTGTGGACAGGGGCATCCCTCCGCAGCGAACTCCTGTCCATATCCAGGTTACCATTCAGGATGTGAATGACAATGCTCCTGTCTTTCCCGCTGAAGAGTTTGAGGTCTTGGTAAAGGAGAACAGCATCGTAGGCTCTGTCGTGGCCCAGATCACGGCTGTTGACCCAGATGAGGGACCCAATGCCCAGATCATGTACCAAATCGTGGAAGGCAACATCCCTGAGATATTCCAGATGGACATCTTTTCTGGGGAGCTCACAGCCTTGATAGACCTGGATTATGAGACAAAACCCGAGTATGTTATTGTAGTGCAGGCCACCTCTGCCCCTCTGGTCAGCAGAGCCACAGTCCACATCAAACTCATTGACCAGAATGACAACAGCCCTGTTCTCAAGAACTTCCAGATCCTGTTCAATAACTATGTGTCCAATAAGTCCAACACCTTCCCCTCGGGGGTCATAGGGAAGATCCCAGCTTATGACCCTGATGTGTCTGACCGCCTCTTCTACACCTTTGAGCGGGGAAATGAACTGCACTTGTTGATTGTAAATCAATCGAGCGGGGAGCTGAGGCTGAGCCGTAAGCTGGACAACAACCGTCCGCTCGTGGCCTCCATGCTGGTGACTGTCACAGGTAGGGTCTGAAAATCATTAAATCATTAAACCTTTAGTGCAGTACCTTCAGGGGGCTCCGCATGGTCCCCTGCGGGGGATGGGTCGGGGACTGGCAACAAGATTTGGACTGGGAGTCCCTTACAATATCAGGGGATAATAGTGGAGGGGCTGGGAAGGGTGGCAGCAGGGGGCATGCTGCAGGAGAGCGCTCTGTAAGGGGGCAGGGGCCGGAGGTGGTCTGCAAGAACAAAGCATCGTTACTCAGCTGTGAGGATTGCTTGTAGCTGCTAGTGAGACACCTTTGGAGGTGCTGTCACCAGCGAAGCTGGGATGTGTGCTGTAAGGTGCTTCCTGGGCATGCCGCCAGTTTCTGGGGTGGCCAAACTGCCGGCCCAGGGACCAGCATGCTGCTTCGCTCCCAAGCCGGGGTGGCTCTTCTCCCTGCCAGGACAGAGTGCTTCCCATCTGTGCTCGGGAGGGAGGGATTGAATTCTGTGTCGGGAGAGCCCTTTTTAAAATGCCTGTCTGTTGGTAGGAAATGGTTCAGATTGGATTCTGGCTGTGGCACCTACCAACACCTGTGCTTGGTAGTCTGGCTTCTAAAAGCTGGTACCACCTTTCTGCAGCCAACTTAGCGTTGCAGGGGACAGCTGTGACCAACCTCAGAGTACGGTGCTTAAAACTTGCATCGTGTGTGTTGCCAGAGTATCCAAATGCAGATGCTAGTGGTAGCTGCTGAGGTGGCTTTGGGGAGTGTTGGGGTTCCCTCCAGCCCACCTGGGGGCAGGGCAAAGATGGACCTCGGGGCTTGTCTGTGAGCAAGCAGGGTTTCGACCTGGAGCTCTCCACTGCCTGAGCTTTGCCTTCACCATCAGCCTTTCTTTGCTCGCAGATGCATGATCTGAAATGGAGGCATCTGTCCATCGCTGAACCGAGGAGCAGCTCTGGGGGAGGGAGGGCGAGAGCCCTCTTTGGTGGGGCCAAGCACCGAATTACCAAGAGTGCCTGGGGAGCTGTACATTAAATTGTGATGCTTCCCTGGTCCTTGGCTACCAGCTGCCCTCCCTTTTCACCTCTCTCTATCCGGCTTGTGCAGTGAGGGGAGGATTTCCTTCAAAAGATAGAATGAGGGCTTTAAGAGGAGACCTGTTCAAGACAATCCTGCATAGCCAGCACCAGCCCCCCAGTGGATGGGGGCTCTTTGGGGGTTAATTGTAACTGCAGGGCTGACTGAGAGTGGGTGCAGGTGCACACATGCCCATTGCTGGAGATGGGGGGTGGTTTTGACCTTTCCAGCTTGAGCCCCAATGGTTTTATGCAAGCCTTGCCTCCTTGCACACTTAACCCCGCACAAAGGCAGGAGACAATCACGTCCTGAAGTCCTGTGTCGAGCCGCCTCGCGGCGAGGGGGCCCTTGCAATTAGAGTGTCGTCATCTTCCAGTGGGAAGGGAGACTGGGAGAGGTGCGTGCACGAAGGAGGGGAGAAGATGGAAGGGGAAGAGCTATAACCGGGGAGGGAAGTCAGACACTGGAAAATGGGCCTTTTGTTGGCTTTGATACTGGCTGTGGAGGTGGAGGTCTGGTTTGGGTTTTCCATCTTTATTGTTCAAAGCCCCCCGCCCAGCTGGCAGCTCTGTCAGCCCCATGCTGTCGCTGTGTGCAGGGGGAGGGTGGGCGGGAGGGTTTGCAGAGCTGGCGGCCAGGACATTCAGACCCAGCTGCATTGTTTGACAAGGCGCAGTGCTGTGCCGGAGCACCCTCCTCCTGCAGGAAAGCAACAATAGCACCTAGGTGGGTGCCCTGAGGGTCAGCATCCAAGGAGGGAGCAGCTTGCCTGCCTGTGAGCTTTATGGTTCCTTTGAGGGAGGTCGGATCCCCCTAAAACACAGGGCAAGGGGCCCTTCTGCCTGCCTGTGAGCTGTGTTTTCTCAGCACCTACAGGCCCTTGTAGGAGGCAGGGAAGACTTGGGCCATCACAAACCTGTGCCTTTTCACAGGGACTGACAGCCAGAAACTGACCCCAGCTCCTCGCAGACGTGTGGGCACCTATGGCTGATAAGAACTGTTCTTGTTTTGCATCCTCACCGACCAGTGGGGTGGTGGGGCTGTGTCTATGGCCAGCTGCAAGCACAGTGTGAAATTGTGGAATTGTAGGAGACTGACCTGGTGTTGACTTTAAACCATTCCAGACTGGTTTCACTGGGACAGGCTGCTGGGCTGGTGGGAAGGGTGGAGGCTCAGTTGCACTCAGCTGTGACTGTTGCATTGCCCTCGTTCCCCTCAAGCTCTTTGTAAACAGCTCCCCTTGGCCTGCAGCCCAGGAGCTTGCCCTGGTGAGGGGACCCATTTGTCCAGGATATCTCACCTAAAATCCCAGCCTGGCAGGGAAGACCCCCTAGAGCACATGTGTCCTGATTCCAGTGTCTGAACACATGAGAACCATCTTTTCAAGATGGGTAAGGGTCCCAGGGCTGCCCTGGCCTTTCACAACTTGCATGTCTCTCCTCTCTTGAGGAGCCCACTCTCAGCACCTTCCTCTCCTGTTGGGTCCATCACAGCTGGAGGTGCTGACCACAGAGTTAGGGTGGGAGACTTAAATCTGTTTCTGGTTAGGGAACAGTTCTGGAGTCTTCTTGGTTCTTATATTTTAGTCCCTGTCTTTAGAGCTACCAGGAGAGTGACATTCATACTCTGTGCTGGGTGAGAGGAGTCTGATTTACTTCTGAGATCTCTTAACCTGCCAAGTATCATCAAAATCTTGAGAGGTCTGCCAAAGCCCTTCAGAAGTGGTGAAGAATGTTCACCTTACCCATACCTGTCTCTTCCCTTCCCAGTTTCTGTCAGCAAGTGTTTTACTGTTCCTCAGCTGCAAATGTGAAAGCTACCTGTCTGTCCCCAGAGCACCCTTGTCATCTCTGGGGTGGCTTCTCAGGGTGTTGCAGTCAGAGCAGTGGCTTTTGCTCTCTCAGAGCCTGGTCCTGCTGCACAGAAGAGCACAGGTGGTGATGCACCGGAGCCTGTTTCTCAGCTCCTGGTCCCCCCACATGAGAGACGGGTGCATCCCTTCAGGGAGGCCGTTTGAGCTGAGCTGCCTTCTTCCCAATCCCTGGAGCTCCCTGGGAGGCTGAAGGCCAAAATGTTTGCTGTAGGGGAAGGGGAACCTCTGCTAGTGACTCTGAGGCTCTTGGGGTGGGAGTGTTGGTTAGAGCCCATGTCTTGTGCTGCACAGTGGGCTGGGGTGCTGCCCAGGGATCAGAGAGCCTCTGGCAGCACAGGGGGACAGGAGAGATGGACTCTGGCAGACCAAGGAGACTGCTGGGCAACGATGGGCAGCCCTGTTACCCCCCAAGTGGTTTCCAGTTAGGCCTGGAGCTTCATTCCCAGGTGGACAGCGCAGCTCCCCAGGAGGAGCCGGCTGCATATCTTGCTCTCTGGTCAGAGCTCTTCTTTCTGTAGTTTTGCTGCTTTTGAATCTGGCAGTTGTCAGTCTTAGAAGTGTAAACATAATGACCTGGTGCTGCCCAGCACGGGGATGAGAGCCCCTTGCATCCCTTGTCCCTGCTTCTTTCCCTGTAGGCGTGTTTCCAGGGCTCCTGCTCTGCTGCATGAATATTCACCAGGCTCCAGCTCTCCGGTCACAGGATTTAATCAGAAAGGCTGAGCATTCGTGATTAAAATGCCTCCCAGGGGGGTCAGTGCCTCCAGCCAGCTTTGGGCTTTCTTTTGGTAGCTTTTTTTTCTCCCTGTTTGCAGAGGGTCATTCTCTTAACCATCTGCTTCCCCTTGCACGGAGCTGAGGGGGGAAGCAGACCTGGGTGTGATGCTGAGGTGGGACAGCATGTTATGGGGGAGCTTATCAAGGAGGGCTGTAGGGCTGGGGTTGGCTCTGCGTTGCTGTGGGGAGCCTGGGCTGTCCTGCCATGGACTGGGCGTCAGGCACCCTGCAGCCCACCTTATTCCCCAGCCACAGCCTCCTTGTTCCTGGGAGGTGTTGCTGGCCTCTGGCATGCTCCAAGACTGAGCATCACAGCCTAATAACAGCCGTAAATCAGGCAGATGTCTGCCTGCCTATTGCTGGGCGCTGAGTGGCCCTCAGGGAGGGTGTGAGCTTTCCCCTGGGCCTTGTGGCTGTTTCTGGGTGAACCATGAGCTGGAGAGAGGAGAGTAGGAGGCAGCTGGGCTCAAATTGAGCTCATACTTGGCCACAAAAGCAAACTGCAAGGAGGGGACAAAGGGAGAGGAGAGGGAGTGGGGACGCGGCGATGAGAAGGAAGCTAGTGTCAGAGTGGTGGCTGGTGCTGCCTCACCAGGTGGTCCCTCAGGGAAGGATGCCAGGCTGCTGGTAGCTTGGGGAACATATGTGACTGAACCAGGCTTGTGCTTTCCCCTTGCTCCTTTTTCCCCAGGGCTGAGTGATCTCAGCAGCCCATGAGCCTCTTGCAGAGAGAAGGTGCCTTGGGGGACACAGGTGATGATGCCGGTTACTTGTGCTTAGCCCAGGCAGTTCTAAATCCCCTGGCACATCCAGCCAGGTGCTGGATGGAGCTGTTTGGTAACCACTGCTAATGCTGCCGTCCATGTCAGAGCCTTCAGCATGTCACACAGAGCAGTGGTTCCTCACCTTGTTTCTACATGGGGCAGAAAGCAGTTTGATTTCAGAGAGAAGCAACCCCCCGCTTCCTCCAGGAGATTAGCTCCTGGGTGACTGTACTGGCACTGCTGCTCCCTCAGCCTCACGCAAGCCTTATCTCCAGAGCACCAGCCCCGGTGCGCAGGCTGGTGCTTGCACAGGAATTTGCAGGGTCACCAGAAAGCTTTCACCTTCTGAAGAGTAGAAGAGAGAAGGAGGGAAAAAAAGGGAGACGTTTCAATCTTTAAATCCTCCTGCACTGCAAACTTCAAACGGTGCTGAAGGAAATCAAAAGGCTTTTCAGTGCAGCAGCCATGGGAAGAGAGGAACAGTAAAGACAGCTTTGCACATGAGGCTTGCAGCTACGGCACGGGTCAGGGATGGGGGACTGGCTTCTACAGCCTTGGTCCTCGTCGGGGCAGGTGCTGACTGGGGTGCTGGGAAGCCTGCTGCCCCTTGTGCCACCTTGCACTGGGTTGCAGGAGATGAAGCAGTGCTGAGCGGGGTTTGCCGGGCTTGTTTCATGTGTGGCTTCAACACAGGCTGGCCAGGGCTGCCTGGTGGCACTGACCTGGTCGTTAGTCTGTCCTGTGCATCCTGGCAGTGGTGCTCATTTGTAACTGGCTGAGTTACATCTGTGCTGGGGAGATGTGCTGTGCAGTTACTTCCCACTTGCTTGGCAGGAGAGGTGTGGCAGCATGAGGCTGTCCTGCGCCTTTTCATGGCTCAGGACAGGATCACCTCGATGATTGTGCGTCCCCTCCCTGCTCTGAACAGCACAGGCTGGTGTCGTACCCGGGTCGAGAGAGGGGCAGAGATTACAGTGTGTGAGTAAAGGAGCAGCTCCCCTGTGTTCACACCAGTAAAGCACTGTGGTCCCACCATGGGCTAGGCCGGGCCACAGCACCTCTGGCACAGGGTGCTTCTAACTGGGTGGCCATGCCAGTGTGCTTGGTTATAACCCACACAGCTGCCCCTGGGGCTGGGAACAGCCAGAGCTGCTGAGGGCTCATCCTGCAGCTTTCTGGCTGTGAGGCAAAGCAGCCCAGCCCTGGGCGCCTGGTTTGCCCATGTCAGCATGTGCTGGGGCATGGGTAAGGGCTGGGTTGAGGCAGAAGAGGGGCTGCCCTTGGTGGTGCTGGCGATGTCTGTACTTTAGCTATTCTTCTTCTGAAGCAAGATCCACCCTCCTGCCTACCTTTTCACAAGCCCATCTCCCATGTCAGTGTTTAAATTGGGGCCCAGAGTGTTGAACCTTACATGGATGCCCAGGAGAGGATGCATGAAGCTGTCTCTGCCAAGTTGATTTGCCTGCCAGGGGTCAGCGTGGCAGAGAGGGAAAGGGAAATCCCAGAAAACTCCTTGCCCATCATTCGTGTGACCTTGCCTGCAGGGAGGCACAGGCAGCTGGACCCGTTGTCCCCAGGAGAAGGGGGTGGCTTGTGTTTGCCACTCATTGGTCACATGTAGGGGATGTTACAGCAAAGCTTGGTACCCTGGGGTAGTCCTGGGACTCACTATCGAGATGTGCTGATGTAAATGTTGTATTGGTATGTTGGAGAGCCAGGTTTCCAAGGAAACTTGGGGGTTTGGGGCTCTCAGGTGGATGGGGAGTGGGAGATGGGAACAGCAGGCTACAGCCATGTGCTGGTGAAGCCCGTGGGGCACCAGTGTTGGGGTGCTGACAGTGGGCTGGAAGACAGATGACCTCATTTCAGCAGGAACAGTGAGGCTCTCAGTGAGCCTCATCAAGCATTTCTGGGGCCACAGAGGTTGGCATGGTCCTTGCTTCACCGTGCTGAAGGCTGGCTCTGCCTGCTGGAGCCTGTGCTTGAGGGGGACTGGGAGAGAGGAGTCATCCTGGAGCAGCAGATGGCCTTCTCCCCCCTGAGTGCCCTGGCCAAAGCTGCTAGCCAAGGTGCCTGTGGTGGTCTGAGTGAGGGGGACATTGGCAGGCTGCTTTTGTGGGATATCTCCTGGCAAAGCCACAGACTAGGGTCATGTAGAAAGGAGAGTTAATGACTAGAAAATAAACCCACTGCTCAAACTTCTGCCTGGGCAGACTGACAGCCCCAGCAAAGGGCCAGGCAGCTTGCATTTGGGCAGTGTAAAGTGGTGAGGCTGGGGCAACTGTGGTCTGGAAGGGACCAGTGGGAGTTTTATCTGGACAATGGGGCTTGCTGTCTGGCAGGTCCCCAGCTGGAGTAATTACTGTCTCTGTCTCGCTGGGAGGGGTGCCTGCCTCTGCTTGTAGCAGGGTTTTTTGGAGGAATTAGGCACATGGTCACATCTGTCTGTCTGTCCAGCTCCCATCATGGCCAGTATTTACTAATTTGCAGCAGTGTGTGACCCTCCAAAGTAGCAGGATTTCTGGGAGCTGAGTAGATGGGGTGCGGCAGGGGACCAAAAATTGCATGGCTACTGGGATGGGTGCTGCAGTGGGAACTGCACCATTGCCTGTCCTGGTACTATGCTGCCTGCACCCCTGAAGCCTGAGCTTCTGGCACTGAGTGTACCAAATGTGGGGGTGAGATGCTGCTGAAGGCCAAGGTCCTGAGAGAGCAGGCGGGCATGCTCCAAGTGTGTGAGCACACTCCATGTTCACGCCTGGGAGATCGCTTGCGTGGTGCGGGGTCCCAAGAGGAGGGAGTTTGTTTCTAAGGAAAATAAAGATTAAAGAGAATTAAACAAACGGAAGATGGGCCAAAGGAGGAAGAGACGTGGAGCAGATGGTGAGAAGGGGGGAAGCAGGGAGACCAGCACAAAGCTTTGGAGACCCTGGAGGAGAAAGGAAGGAAACGGCAGGAGGAGAGCACAGGGAAAGGCAGCGTGGGGGAGGCAGACAGGGCGCAGCAAACCACCCCCAGCCCTGGCATCGGCTCCTGTGTTTGCCCGGCCTCCTGCTGGGACTTCCTTCTGCCCCAGTCTTACCAGCATCTTTGTTCCTGAGGGCTCAGTTTGCTGCTGAGATCCAGGATAGGGAGGAAACATGAGAACTGTCTCAGTGGAGAAGCTGAAGGGAGGGAGAAGGTGCAGTGGCACCCTCCAGCCCAGGTGGCACCCTGCTAGCTCCCAGGGCTGTGGCTTCAAGCTTCCTTAGCCAAGGACTTGGGCCTTTTGGGGGCTGCACTGGAGTGTGGGGCTCTGCCCCGAGGTAGGAGATCCTCCAAGCAGCAGGCAAAGACCTGCAGGGTGTCCCTGTTCTCTCCCACAGATGGGATCCACAGTGTGACGGCACAGTGCGTCTTGCGGGTGATCATCATCACGGAGGACATGTTAGCCAACAGCATCACGGTGCGGCTGGAGAACATGTGGCAGGAGCGCTTCCTCTCCCCGCTGCTGTCCACCTTCCTGGAAGGGGTGGCCACAGTGCTTGCAACGCCCAAGGAGGACATCTTCATCTTCAACATCCAGAACGACACGGATGTGGGCGGCACAGTGCTCAACGTCAGCTTCTCAGCGCTGGCACCGCGGGGCGGGCGCTACTTCAGCTCAGAGGAGCTGCAGGAGCAGCTGTACATGAAGCGCATGGCGTTGACGGGTGCCTCCATGCTGGAGGTGCTGCCCTTTGATGACAATGTCTGCCTGCGGGAGCCCTGCCAGAACTACATGAAGTGCATCTCTGTCCTTAAGTTTGACAGCTCAGCACCCTTCATTGCCTCCCCCTCCACTCTCTTTCGGCCCATCCACCCCATCACTGGCCTGCGATGCCGCTGCCCGCAGGGTTTCACCGGGGACTACTGTGAAACAGAGATCAACCTCTGCTACTCCAATCCCTGCCTGAACGGTGGGATTTGTACCCGCAAGGAGGGGGGATACACATGTGTTTGCCGCCAGCACTTCAGTGGTGAGTGCCCGGGGCTGGGGGGCAGATGGGTGAGCGGGTCCCTTGGCGCTGCTGTCACCATGTCAGGGTGCTCTTCCCAGTGTCAGAGCCCCTCTTTGCCTGCAGAGGTCCGGCTCTGCTCCCAGTTCTCCGAGTTTCCATGGTGCTGGATGTGCAGGGCTGAGGTTGCCATAGAAATCTGTCTTGTAGGGAGGTGACATGGAGGGCTCCTGAAGACCCTGGCCACTGCCTCCAAGCCTTTTTCACAGAGCAGAAGGACCAAGCTGGGCCATGCCAGGCAGGGGCACAGGAGGCTCCTCAGCCCTGCCCCATGTCAGTGGGGTGATGGGCTCTGGAACTAGCAGAGGTGCTGGTTTAAGCCTATGCCAGTCTTCAGCTGGTCTGGCAGAGGTGTGGAGCCCATGCTGGCCCCACATGCAGTGGGTGAGCTGCTGCCCACCCAAAACAGAAGGGGAGGCTGGGCCTAGCTTCCCCACCAGTCAGGATCTGATCCAGGAAGATCTGATCCTAGCTGCGGGGGAGTCCCTGGGCTGGCCAGTGTCTTGTTACTGCAAGTCCCCAGCGGACTGTGGATATCCATGCCCAGCCACTGGCAACCTGGGGGTGAGGGAAGGTGGCCTGTGGCTTCTGGGAAGGGAGCCCCTGCCTTGCCCTCCCTGCCAGGAGGGAGCGTGGCAGCAGATGGCTGCCTTGGAGCTGTTCTCCTGTTGGTGGCTCCTGGTGAGATAAGCAGAGTCAGTGGTAATTAACCCCCGGCATTTGAAGCGTGAACAGCCATTAGCAGATGGGTTAATGAGCTCGTTTCCCTGTCACTTCATGCTGTCTCCTCATCCTCCTTATGTGCCATGGAGCAAGTAATGGGAGCAGGGCCTGGGGCGTAGGACTGCAGCTGAGCAGTTCCCTGTGTGCTGTGGGGGCAGCACAGGAAAGGGGCTGGCCAGATCCCCTGCACTGCACTGCTGAGCTGCCTTGGGGCATCCCCGTTACTGATGCCAGCAAGGTGCAAGGATATTCGGTGTCCCTTATCTTTCTGGTTTCCGCTTGGCTTTTGCTCTTACCTCAGGCCTGCACACAGGGTTAGGAGGCTCCTGGTGCTGTGGGTGAGATTTTCATAGCTATTGGCAGGGGAACTCAGTGGCACTGGGCGTTATCCACACCCTGGATCCAAGGCTGCAATGCCTGTCCCAGGCCTGTGCGGTGGCAGTGACCAAGGAGGCAGCCAGCATCACCAGGGCTTTCCTGGCTTGTCCTTGCCTCTCCGTCCTTAGGACTGTGCAGCCCAGCTGTTGCCAGTCCCTTCCTGTCCCATTCCCGCGCCATCCTGGGTCCAAACTTGCCCCTTCAGCTGAAGCTGGCATCCCATCCAGCCCAGTGGCTCGGGCTGCAGAGCTTGTGGTAGTAGCCAGCTTGCTGGCTACTGTGGGGAACACCTGAGTGACACCTGGGTTGTCACGTCCTTCATCTGCCCCCAGCCACCCCACAAGCTCCTGCGCCTTGGCTGCCCTGCCCCAAACCTGGGCTGAGGTCTGCACTCCTGAGGCAAGGAGTGGATGAGTGGCCGCTACGTGTGTGCCTCCCAGCCAGGACATGTCCCAAGCCTCTCGTCTTGCTCCCACCAGGTGAGAACTGTGAAGTGGACAGTCGCTCAGGGCGCTGCGTGCCCGGCGTGTGCCGCAACGGCGGCACCTGCACCAACAGTGCCGATGGGGGCTTCCGCTGCCAGTGCCCAGCGGGTGGCTTCGAGACGCCCTTCTGCGAGGTGTCCACACGGTCCTTCCCCCCACGGTCCTTCGTCATGTTCCGGGGCCTGCGCCAACGCTTCCACCTCACCCTCACCCTCTCGTGAGTCCTCTCCTTCCTCCACTGGACACTAGCACCTGCTGGTTCACCTGGCCCTGCTCTGGTGGGTCCTGTGTACCTTGGGCCTGTCCAGGGACTCGCTGATGCTCTCCAGACTCTGTATTACTGGCTTTGCCTCGCCATGGGGCTGCCCTGGTGCCTTTAGCAAAGGTACTAGCATGTCTTCCCTGGCATCAGCTCATCCCTTCCTTAAGTATCTCTGCCCTTACTTGCTGCCAGCTCTTTGCCTCTATGCCCCTAAAGCATCTGCTGGATCAAGCTCCCAGCTTCTTCACAGCTGGGTTTGCACCCAGGGCCAAGCCCATGTTTCGCCCTGTCCCTGTGCTGGGACACTGATGCATGCCATGGAGAGCAGGGATCTTTGCATGCTCCTTGTGCACACCCTGCCCTCCTGCTTCCTCCCTTGCCCCAGGTTCAGCACCGTGGAGCCCAGCGGCCTTCTGCTCTACAACGGGCGCCTGAATGAGAAACACGACTTCCTGGCAGTGGAGATCATCCAGGGGCAGGTCCAGCTGAAATACTCCACAGGTAGGCTTGGCCCTGCCTGTCGCGGGATTTGTGCCGTGGGAGCTGTGAGAAGGCCTGCTCTGAGCAGGGAGAGCGGGGTGCTGCCCTGGGCGGAGCCCACGCTAAGGGAGACAGGGTTGAGAGGTGTTGGTGAACATCAGTGGATGGCACGGGGGATGGGTGTGGGTCTCTGGTCCCTCCCTAGGCTTAGGAGTACAGGTGCATCAGGGAGGTTGTGAGCACAAACCAGGACAAAGCCTTTAGAGGCCTCTGCTGCTGTTCTGCCCCCTTATATCACCACAGGCTTCACCTCTTGCCTTGCAATGAGCCAGTCTGGAGAGGAGGACCGTCCTGGGAGGGTGTTTGCTATCCTGTTGGTCCCATCCCTGCTACCTTGTGCCATTGCTGTGCCCATCCTGTGCCCATCCTGCCTGCCCTGAGGGCTGTCAGGATCAGCTGCCAGGAACCCTGGGCCCTCGTGTTAACAACTTGGCCTTCCCGCCTGTCCTGTGTCCATCACTCCTCCCCTCTCCCCTCCACACAGTGCCTGGTGGCTGCTACTGCTCTGGTTGGGCTGATCCCCTCAGGGCAAGCAGAGGGCAGCTGGCAGGGGGTCAGATGCACAGTGCCAGGGCACCCCAGCAGTCAGCCTGGACAGAGGAGCTATCCTGGGATGCTGACTGACAGTCCCAGGGCTACAATTCCCCCTGCCACACTCCCGTGCAAGGCTGCAGCAGGCAGAGGCCAGCATTCTGAGCTTGTCTCCCTGGAGCCCTTCTCCATCCCAGCATGAGACCATCGGCACCGCAGGAGGTTTGGTGCCCACAGGAGGGGTGGGCTGTCTGAGGGCTGTCTGGCTTCCCTCAGTGTGCCATCATTCCTGTCTCTGCAGGAGAGTCCAGCACAGTGGTGAGCCCCTATCTGCCAGGGGGTGTGAGTGATGGGCAGTGGCACACGCTGCAGCTCCACTACTACAACAAGGTACGTGTGCCCCAGCTGTCCCACCACACACCTGGGCCTTTCTCCCTGCCAGGCGTGAGCAAGTGACTCTGCCTCTCCTGTTCTTTGGCTCTGCCCTATGGGGGAGGCTAGTGAGGGAAGGCAGAGATGGTTTTTCAGCCCTTGGGGGTGGGTGCAGTGGAACAGATGGCTGGGTGCAGGGGTGACTGACCCTTAGGACTGCACTTGGAGGCTGCACGAATGCGCTCCACGCAGTGTCCTCGCCCATGTCCATCTCTGGCGCTGCTTGCTGGGCTCGGCTGAGATGTCCCTCCTGCTTCGCTCCCACCTCCAGCAGTGCAGTGGTGCCTGGGCCATGCTCAGGACCTTTCCTTGCTGTTGTGCGAGCCCTCGGGTGCCTGGGTCTGAAGGCATGTGTGCTGCTAACGCCCTGCCTTTGGTTTCAGCCCAAGGTCAGCGCCCTGGGGGTGGTGCAGGGCCCCTCCAAGGACAAAGTGGCCATCTTGACAGTGGACAAGTGTGATGCCTCAGTGGCCCTGCAGTTCGGCAGCGAGATTGGGAACTACTCCTGTGCTGCAGAGGGTGTGCAGACCAGCTCAAAGAAGTGAGTTCCTTGGGGACTGCTGGGCACTGCCGTGGTGGTGAGAGGAGCAGGGCACCTGGGTTCCCTGCAGAGTCAGCCCTTCACGTGTGGGACCTTGGCTGTGTGTACCTGTCCCGGAGGATGACTGCTTCCCGGCCCCTTGTACTGGGGAGCCAACTGACTGGCTTGAGGCCACTGTAGCTCTTAAAGCCCTGGACTTCTGTCTTTTGTAGGTCCCTGGATCTCACAGGTCCCCTGCTCCTCGGAGGGGTCCCCAACCTGCCGGAAAACTTCCCTGTCACTCACCGTGACTTTGTGGGGTGCATGAGAGACCTATACATTGACAGCAAACGCATTGACCTGGCCTCCTACATCGCCAACAATGGAACTGCTGCAGGTACCAGTGCCTCTGCTCCTGCCAGCCCCTGCCCTGGGAATTGCCTCTCCTGCTCACACAGCAGCATTGCTGAGCTGTAACAGTGTCATGGGAGCACAGCTGTAGCTGAGCATCTTCCCATCAGAGAACAGGGCCTCCAGAGCCCCCTACACGAGCCAGTCCCCACCCCAGCTAATGTTCTGGGAATGTCCCCTGATCCCAAGTGCAGAGCCTGCAGAGCTGGCATGTTTGAGAGATACTAGGTAGTCATTCTAGCTCCACAGTGTCTTTCTTCTGGCATAAGGAGCAGTAACAGCCTTGGTCCTCATCCCTGAGCAGGCAGGGCGTGTGTAGAGAGGCTGAGCAGCTGGGCTCAAGCATGCCTCTGGCAGCCAGGGAAAGGGCTGGTGGGCAGTGGTGCTTCTCAGTGTGGGCTGGGGGAGGTGGTGAGCAGGTCAAGGCTGATGTGGGTGACTTTGATACCTCCAGGCTGCCATGCCAAGCACACGTTCTGCGACTCCAGCCCCTGCAAGAATGGTGGCACCTGCTCTGTCAGCTGGGGGACCTACTCCTGCCTCTGCCCTGTTGGCTTCGGGGGCAAAGACTGTCGCCACCGTGAGTGAGCGGGCACTGCTGGGCATGGGCAGGGTGGGTATGTGCAAGACTGTGCTGGGGTTGCTGTGGAGGCAGAGTAATGAGTCCATGTGAGATGCACTAGCTCTGTTGTCCTTGCATCTAGTGCTCCCTGTGTAGTTCCTATCCCTTCTCCTCACCTCCAGTTTCCTTTCCAGCCATGCACCATGCCCACTATTTCCAGGGCAACAGTGTCCTGACCTGGGACTTCAAGACAGATGTGAAGATCTCAGTGCCATGGTACTTGGGGCTGGCGTTTCGGACCCGCCAGCTGGACGGGGTGCTTCTGCAGGCCCATGCTGGCCAGTACACCACCCTGCTCTGCCAGGTAGGGGCACAGCACCATGCTTCAACCTCTGCTGGCGTCTGCCCCATGAGAGCAGGAGGACCCTGCCCTCCATGTTGACTCCAGACCAAGCAGAGGGTGGTTGTGGGGAGAGGTGTTTAGCAGGGCTGGGTTTCCCTTGCTGTGCTTAGAGGAAGGGGAGGCTGGAGGCAGCCAGTGTTGGTGAGGCCTTGGCTCACTTCTGCCATTGCTGGTTCCCTCTGCAGCTGGCTGGGGGCCTGCTCTCCTTCATGGTGAGCAAAGGGTCCGGGCGCAGCACCAGCCTCCTCCTGGACCAGCTGCGGCTCAGCGATGGGAGATGGCATGACCTCCAGCTGGAGCTGCGGGATGTCCGCAGTGGGCGAGACTCCCGCTACATCATCACCCTCACCCTGGACTTTGGGCTCTATCAGGTAGGTGCTGCTTGAGACCCCAGCACCAGAACAGGAACTGTGGGGGTGCTCAGGATAGATGGGCTGGGCTGGGCCTCTGCACACTCAGAGAGGGCTGGGACAGGGCTGATGCCAGTTGCCTCATGTTATTCCCTTTCCTTCTGCAGGATACGGTGGTTGTCGGAAATGAACTGCATGGCCTGAAGGTGAAACACCTGCACGTGGGGGGAGTCCTAGGCTCTGGTGAAGTGCAGAATGGTCTGAGGGGCTGCATACAGGCAAGTCCATTGCTCTGAGCCTTCCTTTTCCGGTTACATGGAGGGCTGGAAGCACAGGCCTGGCAGCTGCTGCCAGCATCCATTGTGCTGGCAACACTTCCTTGGAGCGTTCAAGGCTCTGGGGTGCTGCGGGGCAGCAGGGGTGATGGGGGGTGGCTGCCCCGGGGGTTTGTGGAGGGCAGGAGGACTGGAGCCTTGTGTGTCTGTTCTATCTTCACTCTGGTTTTGTCACCTGCATTGCAGGGTGTGCGACTGGGTGACAGCATCACCGGGACTGTGCTGCCCAAGCCCAGCCATGCCCTGCGGGTGGAGGCTGGCTGCAGCGTGCCGAGCCCCTGCGACTCCAGCCCCTGCCCAGCCAACAGCGTCTGCAAGGATGAGTGGCAGAGCTACTCCTGCATCTGCCAGCCAGGTAGGGCCTGCAGTGTTCTGCCACCCCTTTGCTCTCCATGCCTGTCTGTCCTCTCCCCTTATGGCTCCCTCCTGGCTTGTGACTGCTATCCTGTCTATCACTTGGGCAAGTCACATCCCTGTCAGACACTCATTAATTTTTCTGGAGGGCAGAATCTCTCCTGAGCCTGCTGAATCCACTCCTCGGTGCTCTAGCACCTCTCAGGGGGAAGGTGCTTTACACAGTGCTCTCTGCCCACACTTCAGGGTATTATGGAGGGGACTGTGTGGATGCGTGTCACCTCAACCCCTGCAAGAACAAGTCGGTGTGTCGCCGCAAGCCAGGATCACCCCTGGGCTACGTGTGCGAGTGCGGAGGGAACTTTTTCGGGCAGTACTGCGAGCACAGGTGAGACGTGGGGCACAGGGCAGGGCCATGGACTCCATGCCTGGCTCTGTGCTGTGCTCTGTGCTTTCTTCCCAGCTACGTGACCAGGGACCTCTCAGTGCCACCTGGCTTCTTGGAGCTGCTGAGCAGTTGGGCTGGTGGGAGGAGAAGGCCGGGGAGATTTGGTTGCTGTAACAGTGGAGGCATTTCTCTCCCTAGGATGGACCAGCAGTGTCCGAAGGGCTGGTGGGGGAACCCCACCTGCGGGCCCTGTAACTGTGATGTGAACAAGGGCTTTGACCCCGACTGCAATAAAACCAACGGGCAGTGCCACTGCAAGGTGAGGGGCAGCTGTGCCCATGGGGACGTGGCCCATGGCTTGCCTGGAACCCTGCTTGTGCTTGGTGCTGTTCCTTGTCCCCTCCAAAGGCCTGGCAGCTGCCCAGACCCTACTTTGTGTGCCTGCTTCTGGGCCAGATCCCTACTCAGCTGTTCTGTGCAGCCCTCCTGCCCCAGCACAGTGACAGTGGGGGCACTGGGAGTGCTTTTAAATAAGGAGAGCCTGGATCTTCTCTGCCCTGGCTCCGGTGATTCCCCAGGCACTGTCCTTGGCTGCTGCCCTGAGGGGCTGGCTGATGGCTGTCCCGGTCTCCCCCCAGGACTTCCACTACCGCCCCAAAGGCAGTGACACCTGCCTGCCTTGCGACTGCTACCCCGTGGGCTCCACCTCACGCTCCTGTGACAGGGAGACAGGCCGGTGCCACTGCCGGCCCGGGGTCATTGGGCGCCAGTGCAATAGCTGCGACAGCCCTTTTGCCGAGGTGACGTCCAGCGGCTGCGAGGGTGAGTGTGGGCATGGTGGGGAGCTGGTGCTGTGGGGCTTGGTGTCAGTGGCCCCTCTGTGACCAGCCCCCTGGGGTGCGTGTCTCCACAGTGCTCTATGACGGCTGCCCCAAAACCCTGAAGGCAGGTGTGTGGTGGCCCCAGACCAAGTTTGGCTTCTCTGCTGCAGTGCTGTGTCCTAAAGGCTCCTTGGGTGAGTGGGGGATGCGATGGGGAGGGGAAGGGGCTGCCTGGCTGTCCTGCCAGGGGCTGTAGCAGCCCCAGCAATATCACTTTGTTCTCATGCTGTCCCAGTCCTGTTTAGCTGGGCTTGAGGGCCGGGAGAAGGAAGTTGGAGGAGAAAATGCCGCAGCCTGGGGGAGAGCAGAGGGGTTGGGCTATGGGGCTAGGGCTGCGAACAGGATGTGGGGTCTAGGCCCATCGCTCAGCCCCCAGGGCTGTGCTGTTGCCTCAGTCCCCACCTTCTCCGTGCTGCTTTTTGATTTCAGCAAGCTTGAGGCTGGGGTCAGCCCTGGCACAGTAGCTCGGTGCCCCCAGTGCCTTGCTGTGGCTCTGCAAGCCCTGTCCTCGTCATGTGCTGCGAGGGGAGCAGGGCACAGCATGCTGTTAGGTGAATGTCTCGGGACCCAAGCTGGAGGAAGCTGTTCTCGTGGTGGCAAAGGCGTGAGCAAAGTGCCTGGGACTGTAGGGCAGCACAAGCCCCAGGGGACAATACAAACCCTGTCCTTCTCCAGCCGTTCACCCCAGGAGGAGGCAAGTTTGGCTCCTAACTGTTGTCGCTTCTCTCCCCGGTTCTCTCGCCCTCCGTGCTCAGGCTTGAGGGGTGCAGGTAAGGTTGTTCCCATCTCCTTCCCCCTGTGCTGTAAGGGCTGCGCCATGTGGCTTTCCCTCCCTGCTCCCTGCCTGGCACCCTGCACACCCCTACGCTTTCCCCACTGCTTCTGGAGCTGTCAAGTGTCTTGCCAAATGCTTTGCCTGGCCTCACTGCTCCTACAGCTCTTCCCTGCTCCCAACACACTAACCAGCACAAACCTGGCTGCAGCCGCATGCAGCTCCTGCCACCCGCTGTCCTGAGCCTGCAGCATTGGCTTGGGGCAGGTCTGCGCTCCGCTCCCCAGCTGGGATGGATCCTGGCTCTGCCGGGCTGGTACCTGCTTGCTTAGCCTGGGAGGGGAGGGAGCTGGTGCTGAGCCATGGGTGGTGAGGCCAGGGACGCCATGGAGGAATGGCCATGGGGTGGAGGAAGGGGAGAGGTGTTTGAGAGGGGGGCAGTTGGATGGGGGCAGGAACTGGTGGGCACGCACAGCACAAGGTCCTGTTCCCTCTGCCTGGCTGGCAGGGGGAGGCAGAGGGACCCAGGGGCCAGATCCTGCCCAGATCTGCAGCTGACCTGATCTCTGTTCTCTGCCAGGGCAAGGCAGCAGTGTGGAGGTTTCTTTGTTCTCCCTGCTCCCAGCTGCAAGGGCGCTGGTTCCTGTGCTTGTGCGGCTGGGGGAAAGGTGGTTGGGGAGGACAGCTAGGAGCTGGAGATGGTGGGAGGGGCGCACTAGTCCCTGGGGCTTTTCTGAGCAGCAGCTGGAGTCTGATCCAGGCTCCCTCTCCCCACCCTGGACATGCTGCTGCCCTCTCCCAGCCATGGGCACCTGGCAGGGCTCCCTGGGCCCTGCTGCTGTCCCCAGCAGGGCCTGGTCCACAGTCCTGACAAGTACACTAGGGTCACCTGGGTTCCTCTTGCCCAAACTGTGCGTGGTGACACTCCCAGCCCAGGACACCACTCTCCGTGTCGGCTTTAGCAGCACTGTCAGTGGTGGTCCCATTCACTGCTGGCCTCAGCCAGGGACTGGGGTCTTGCGCTGGCTACTGAACCCATGCTGCTGGAGGGGGGTCCTCCATCCCACTCTACTGCAGGGGCTCATCTCTGGGGTGGGTTTGCCAGCCACACCGCAGGGCTGTTGTTCTTCTGGGGTGACTGCCATGTAGAGAGAGGCAGGACCTCAGCAGGCATTGCAGGCTGCCAGCTGGGGGGTCCCTAGAGCTGCATGGGCTTCAGTAGTTTGGGATCAGATATGCCCTGAGGACAAAGACATGTCCCCACCAGGAACCAGGGGCTTCCCCAGCCCAAGTCCTCCCAAGTCACTTGTTCCTCTTGGCAGTTCTGTGTGATGACACTTGGTGTGATGCAGCCCAGAAGCACACGTAAGAACCCAGCTTCTGGAGGGAGGGGACAGCCACAGCTTGCCGAGGTGATGCAGACCAATGGTGGAATGGGTTGCAGTGGTGCAAAGCAGGAAGATTGCCCTGGAGTGTTACAGGCCCTCCCCATCACTTGCTGGTGCTGCTCTTTGGTATTAGCTGGTGTAGAGGGTCCCTACTATGGAGGATGCTGCAGGGGAGCCATGTATCCTAAGCTGAATTTCAGACATATCCTTCCTTCCTCCTGACTTTAGGTGCAGCTGTCAGACACTGTGATGAGGAGAAAGGCTGGCTGGAGCCAGATCTCTTCAACTGCACTTCACCTGCCTTCAAGGAGCTCTCCATGCTGGTAATCCTCTCTCAGCTCTGCAGCCCTGACAGGGCAGGAGCCATATGAACAAGGGCTCATGTCCAGGTTTCAAAGAACTCAGCTCTCCGTGAGCACCTAGAGTAGGAGAGGGCCTTGCCACAGTGCTCAGCACCTTTCTCTTCTCATCTCCTGCCCCCAGATCCATCCTGTGGGAGCATTGGTCTGAGCTGAAGTTCAGTTTGGTTTAGTCTGATCCTTTGAGTGTCCCCATCAGAAACAATGTGTATTGTGCCTCAGTATTTAAGAGGAAAGCAGATAACTGAGCAGGGCTGAATTGTTTGCAGCTGGCAGGATGTCTGCCCTGTGGGACATCTGTAAGCCCCAGACCCTTCAGTGACAAATCCCTTCAAAGTATCCAGGCAGGTCTGCTGAACACTTGCATCCCACCAAGGCTGAACTTTAGCTGAAACCAGGAGAGTTTCCAGGGAATTATTGCTAGATGCTTGCATGTCCTTTCATCTTCTTGGCCTCTGTCAGATATCGTACTGGGTTAGCTGGGCCTGGCCCAGTGCAACCCCTGGTGTGTTGCTGGAGGCTGGTTGTCTGCCAGAGATTCTCCCTGTTCTAGTGACCACCACTGTGAGTGTCCCTGGCTTATGCTGTGGTTTCAAAAATCATGTCTGGGTCCAGAGTGCCTGCAGCATCCCAGTTTTCCAGTGAGGAATCTGCTTAATTGTCTAATCCCCTCCTTTCTCCTCACTGGCAGCTGGAGGGCTTGGAGAGAAATGAAACTGAGCTCAACACAATTGAAGCCAAGAAGCTGGCCCATCGGCTCAGAGCAGTGACAGACCACATGGACCACTACTTTGGCAATGACGTGCACATCACCTTCCGCCTGCTCTCCCGCCTCATGGCCTTTGAGAGCCAGCAACGTGGCTTTGGCCTGACAGCCACCCAGGATGCCCACTTCAATGAGGTGAGTCCTTCACCAGATCAGGGTGGCTTCTGATGCTGCTTCTCTTTATCAGCCACCCTGAGCCTCGGTCTCTGTTGGGATCGAGGATGTTGTGAGACCATGTCAGAGTACAGGACTCCCCAGTGCCACACAGACATTGACCCACAGCATTGAGACCTGTGGAGGCCACCTGCGTGGTCAGGGCTGGAGCATAGGGTGAAAGTCTCTGCAGGATGCTGGCTGATGAGCGTTGAGGGTGGGGGCCCATTGTAAGAGAAGGTATCCCTCTTTCCTGATCCCTTGTGCAGCAAGCTGGACAGAGAGGACAGTGCTACAGCCTGGGGATGGTCAGGATGGGGCCCAAAGGCTCTGCTTCCCTCACCCCTGGCCCTGTGTCTCTCCCGTGCAGAACCTGCTGCGTGCGGGCAGCTCTGTGCTGGCACCCGAGAACCGGGAACACTGGGCCATGCTGCCGCACAGTGAGCACGGCAGTGCCAGCCTCATGGAGCAGCTGCGGGACTACTCGGGCACACTGGCCAGCAACATGAAACTCACCTACCTCAACCCCGTCGGTGTCGTCACCCCCAACATCAGTGAGTAGGGTCTGGCTGGTGGTGGGGCCTGGTTGGGGTGGTGTTGGAGCCACTCCTCCGTCACACCCTGTCCCCTTCTCCTTGTCTCACTGCACCTCAGCAGGGGTGCTGAACAGGTTCTTCACCTCCTTGGTGGCTCTCTCAAACATGGGGAGGTGTTTGGTCTTGGTCCCATCCCTGCCTGATGCAGCAGACACACCCCCAAGAACCAGCAGAGCCACGAGTGTTCTGCCCTCTCTGAGTTACCCCCAGTAAAACCCGAGTCTCTAGTGAAAAAGCCACTGGTCCCATGGCAGAAGTGGCCTGTCCTACAGCAGAGCAAGGATCTGGGCTGGGAGGGAGCACTGTAGATACTGGGATCTCATGCCATACCCAACCATGGGATACATCTACAACCCAGCCTGTGGCTCATATGGTCCCTTCGCTGGTGACTTCAAACCTGGGGTACCCTGGAGCATGGTTGCTCTCCAGATGGCCATCCCAGAGCTGGTTTTTACTTCCTTGCTCCTCCGCAGTGCTGAGCATCGATCGCATGGAGAACCACTCCCATATCCGCCGGCGCTACCCTCGCTACCACAGCAGCCTCTTTCGTGGCCAACCCGCCTGGGACCCCCACACCCACGTTGTGCTGCCGCTGTCGGTGCTGAGCCCCCCGAAAGCTGAAGGTGAGCATGTGAACATCACTCAGGGAACAGCATGGGTGGGCGTGGAAGGGAAGACGTGCCCCTGCTGAGACCTGGCTGTCAGAGGTCCACAAGTCACCTCTGAGAGCTCAGAGCTTCTGACTTCACCACATCCCAAAGGCTCCTGGTGGGTTCACAAGCTGCCTTCGGAGCAACGTGTGTGTGTTCTCACCATCCCCTTGTGTGCCTCAGCTGCCTCCACAGCAGTGCCCACGCTGGCTGGGGGCGAAGGCAACTACACTGTGGAGAACTCCCCGAGGCAGGTGCTGCCGGAGCCTGAGCCCGCTCTCACTGTGATCATCCTCATCATGTACCGCACCCTGGGGGGGCTGCTGCCTGCACGCTACCAGGTGGATCGCCGCAGTGTCAGGTACGTCCTCCTCCCCTTTGCCCACCACAAGCACCAGTGGAGAGAGGCTGGCTGGACTCTGCTCTGCTCCCTCTGGCAGTTGCTGTGTCTGTCTGCAACGGCTTGAGTTTGGTTCCCAGTCTGATGGTCTTGAAGTGCTCTGCCTGTTGGCACCTTGGCCTTGCTCTGCCCCATGCTTCCTGACCCCTTGGTGTGTGCTGGGCAGAGATACTCCTTCGAAGGCAACAGTGCAGGGCATCTGGGAAGTCCCCGGAGGGCTGCAGCTGCCACCACGGTGATAGTAGAGCTCCATCACTCCTTGCAGGCTCCCCAAGAATCCTGTGATGAACTCCCCCATCGTGAGCGTCTCTGTGTTCAGCAATCACACTTTCCTGCGAGGGCCCCTGGACACCCCTCTCGTGCTAGAATTTCACCTGCTGGAGACAGCCAACAGGAGCAAACCTCTCTGTGTCCAGTGGAACCACTCCAACCCGTGAGTCAAGCATAGCTGGGCCACTCTCTTTGAGCTGCTTTCCCCAGGCACCTCCTTGCTCCATGAGGCTCCCAGGCCATAACGGGCTGTGTGCCTGGGCAGCACCAGGACGTGGGAGGGTTCCGCCCTCTCCCAGGGGGTTCATTCTCGCTGGGAGGGCACAGCAGAGTCCCTGCAGGGCTCTGGCTCCAGTACTTCAGCTGTAGAATGCAGTTGTTACCTGCTGATACAAAAGCCTTGCCAATCACCACTCTTCTCTGCAGTTTCTTCCCCACACACCCCCATCATCTGTCTTCTCTCCTAAGTGCCCTCTCTTTTTGGTGGCTGCAGGACCAACCCCTCCGGCTTCTGGACAGCCAGGGACTGTGAGCTTGTGTATCGAAACACCACACACGTCCACTGCCAGTGCTCCCAGTTCGGCACCTTTGGGGTTCTGATGGACAGCTCGCACCGAGAGGTAACCTTGGGTTGCGGGGCAGGGAGGTGGGGCTGTTAGCCACTGAGTCCCAGAATAAGCAGGCACAGGCAGAAAATTCCCTGTGGGACACAAGTAGAGTTTGAGAACTCAGCAGGCTTCCTGTATCTCCCCGTAATGCCACCATTTGCCTTTCATTCTCGCTGCTGCAGCAACTGGAAGGTGACCTGGAGACGTTGGCAATTGTCACCTATTCCTTGGTGTCTCTCTCCTTGGTGGCTCTGCTGCTGACCTTCTCCTTCCTGACCTGCCTCAAAGGCCTCAAGTCCAACACACGTGGCATCCACTCCAACATATCAGTCACCCTCTTCTTCTCTGAGCTGCTCTTTCTCCTGGGCATCAACCGCACCGAGAACCAGGTCTGTGAGCTTGCACAAGCATGCCCATGGCAGTGAGAGCACGGCATGGGTGATGCTGTTAGCGTTGGCACAGTGGGGCCATCTCTGAGTAGTTTTTGTCTCCCCAGTTTCTTTGCACTGTGATTGCGATCCTCCTCCACTGCTTCTTCCTTTCCACCTTCGCCTGGCTCTTCGTCCAGGGCCTCCACATCTACCGCATGCAGACGGAAGCCCGCAACGTCAACTTCGGGGCCATGCGTTTCTACTACGCCATCGGCTGGGGAGTGCCTGCCATCATCACCGGTAAGAGGTGCTCGTCCTACAGCTGTGCCAAAAGCGTCAGTTCTCAGCAGTCCCCTTATCCCCTGGTGTTACCTGGCTCACTTACCCAGGGAGAAGGGCTGAGGGTGGGCTTGCCATGGCCAGCAGTGCTGGCAGCGAGCAGTGCTGTGGTGGTCAGCTGGTGACTGCAAATCGAGGGTTCTTGTCTCGCCTCCTGGAAAGAGGTAATTCCTCAGCACATCTCCCCCTGGCTTGTTCCATGGGCACGGGGCTGCTGCTGTCCCAGGGCTTGTGGTCAAGGTCTCTTGGTTTCCCAAGCCTGCATGCTTGGGTGACCCATGGCTGAAAGTAAATGTCTGCTGGGCTGGGCTGTGTCAGGGACACCTAGAGAAAAGGAAGTAAAGGCCCTGATGCTGGAGCTCGCAGTCCTGACTCTTTCCCCTGTGGCACATAAGCCTGTGCACAGGGCAGGGAGCGGGGAGAGAGCCCTTTCATGGCTTTCAGTTCTGGGATGGGATTGACATGGCTTGGGCAAGTCCAAGGCTGCTGGGTCTGGACCTGACCTCTCCCTTCCTCCCACAGGGCTGGCTGTTGGCCTGGATCCTGAGGGCTACGGGAACCCTGACTTCTGCTGGATTTCCATTCATGATAAGCTGGTCTGGAGCTTTGCAGGCCCCATTACTGTCGTCATTGTGGTAAAACCCTGTCCTGTTTCACCCACAGCCCTCTCCTGCCTCCCTTCTTCACACCGTGGGCCCCTTCCTTAGCTGCCCATTGCCTGCCCCATTCTTTGTACTCTCCTTTCTCAGTTAGACGCCCTCTCTCTGTCCCTCCTTGCTCCAGCCAAACCTGGGGAAGGCCATGGCTCGGGCATGAAGGGAAAAGGAGGGGATATTCATGTGGGCCTGGCAGACCTGGAGTCTGCCCATGCTCTGCACTGGGGATGTAAGGTCACCAGCCCTTGGCACAGTTTCTAATCAGTGCCAACACTTTCAGATGAATGGTGTCATGTTCCTGCTTGTGGCCAAGATGTCCTGTTCCCCAGGCCAAAAGGAGACCAAGAAGAAATCGGTTCTGTGAGTATTGGTGGCCAAACTCCTAGCAGAGCTCCTGTAGCTCATGGTTTTTAGCATTTTCAGTGACCATCCTCCATCTTTCATCACAGAGCACCGCCCCTCTGTGCATCGGTGTCAGCCTTGCAGCCACTCTCCTCTCCCATACCTGCCAGCCACATTAACCCTTCCTAAACTTTGTCCTTTCCTCTTGTTCCTACGCCCCCATCTCTACACTTTCTGCCAGCCTGTCCCCCTTCACTGCCTGCCCTCAGAGCCACCTCTCGTGTCTGCTTGGATTCAATACTCTGCTCTTGTCAACTGTCAGCACCTACTTCTTCCTCTCCTACATGCTCCTTCTGAGACCTTTTCTCACTCCCTCCTGGGCCAGCCCTGGAGCTTGGCTCAGCCCTCTCTGGCTCCAAATGACCTGTGTCGTTTGGGCCCCTGTGTTTGCCATGTGTGATCCAGAAGGGAAGGCCTGAGAGTCAGGGGGAGCTGAGCCGCTGTGCAGGGATGTGCCCGCCATGCTGGGTGCAGCAGGGAGGGCTGGGCAGGAGCACACTTTCCCCTCTGGATCTCTGTCTGTGAGCGTTAGACTGTAGATTAACAATACACACTAACCTCTCGGTGTGTGCCTGTCTGTCTGTCTGTCTCTCTCTCTCTCTCCAGCATGACGTTACGGAGCTCCTTTGTTCTGCTTCTAGTTATTAGCACTACCTGGCTCTTTGGCCTCTTGGCTGTCAACAACAGTGTCCTGGCTTTCCACTACCTCTACACTGTCCTCTGCAGCCTCCAGGTAACTGCCCGCCGCTGCAGGGGAGGGCAAGGGTCAGCCCAGGAGAGCATCCCTGTGGTCCCCATGGCCATCTGTGGAGAGTGAGTGCCCTGTGCTGAGCCCCTAGCATCCTGCTGGGCTCCTTGTCCCTCCTGCTGTCACTGCTGTGGCAGCATGTGACTCCTGTCAGTCCTCGCTGCTGTGCCTGTGGTGAGCGGTGGCACGGAGCAGGAGGTGGCTGCAAGGCGCTTGGTTCAGAGGTGACATCCAAGGGGCAACAAGGACTGTCTTTGGAGGGAAGGGGCCTGCATGCTCTCAGAGGGCAGAGCAGGAGAGCGGCCTGCAGCAGAGGTGTCAGACACCCCAAATATCACCCACAGCAGCACCCCACAGACCTCCTGCCACCACCGGGGCTGGTGTTTCTTCAGGGGACCCTGACAGCCAGGAGGACACCCCACCCTTTCCTCCCTCACCCATGGCCACCATAGGGCTTAGTACCAATCGGTGTTGGGGGGCTCTTTGGTGCATCTCAGTCCTGGTGGCTACCTGGGCCAACATGCTGGGGTCCAGAGGAGCCAGGGACTGCCCTGGTGCTGGTGCTGCAGGTGAGCAAGTCAGCTGGCAGCAAGGGGCTTTCTCTCAGGTGTCTCTTTCCGCAGGGCCTGGCTGTGCTGGTCCTCTTCTGTGTGCTGAACGAGGAGGTGCGGGAGGCCTGGAAGCTGGCCTGCCTCAGCAAGAAGGGGCAGAGTGAGGAGGCCACGAGGAGCACGCAGGTGGGCAAGAGTCAGAGCAGCCCAGGGGTCTGTGGACAGGCTGCCTGTCTGGAACAGGAGCTGACAGGGACATCCCTGATTCCCTGGGGAGATGGTAGGTGCTGGTGGGAAGGTCATGCCCTGGGCTGCTGCAGCACTTCCTTAACCTGGCATGTGCCCTCTCTCCCCGCCTCGCCAGGGCCCCAACGCCTACAACAACACAGCGCTGTTTGAGGAGAGCGGGCTCATCCGCATCACCCTGGGGGCCTCCACCATCTCCTCGGTGAGCAGCGTGCGCTCTGCCCGCACCCACTCCAGCCAGCGGGCTTACCTCAGGTAGGGAGCGGCGCAGGGCTCCGGGGTGCTGGGAGTGCCTGGGCAGAGCCAGGGGCTCCTGCCATTGTGACCGTGTGGGCCTCCTGTCTTTCAGAGACAACGTGACAGCACGTCAGGGCTCAGTCCTAGATCACAGCCTGCTGGCTCATGCCGGCCCCACGGACATCGATGTGGCCATGTTCCACCGCGATGCTAGGGGAGGTAAGGCTCAGCCCTGTGCCTGGGCTTGGGGCTGACCCCGTGCATCCCAAATCAACTCTTGGCTCAAGGAAATTCTTCCCAGTGCAAACTCTGGCTGTGTGGTTACATTCTCCGCCCCGTGTTAGCTGTGACTTCCAAACGTACTGTAGACAGGAGGGAGAGGCAGAAACTGTGTCATTTAGCACAGCCTCCTCCCAGACAGATGGCAAAGGGCGTAGCCAGTCTCTGAGGAGATAGAAATGGAGGAGGCAAGGTGGGGGGCATAGGCTGTCGCAGAATCCCTGGGACACTGGGCTCCCCAGTACAGCACCGACTTTTGACTCACTGGAGTGAGACCAGCCAGGGCCACTTGCAACTGGAGCTGGGGTGTGGGACGAGCGAGCAGAGGCTGAGGGAGGGGGGTTTGCTCAGCCTGAAGGAACAGGAAGCAAAGGGATCTTACAGCTGTTTGCAGCTGCCTTATGTGGAGGTGCAGTGAGATGGAGCCAGGCTTCTCTCACGGGCACCTGGTGATAGGGCCAAGGCAGCAGGCACAGGCTGCTGCCAAGGGAAGGGCACTGAGGGGCAAGGTAGGCTGTTGTCTTCATGAGGGTGGTTCGCATTGGGGTGGTTCTGCCTTCCTGGCCTTGCCACCGGGAGTCTCCCACATACACCATGTCCCTGCAGACCAGGATTCAGACTCGGACAGTGACCTGTCTCTGGACGAAGAGCGCAGCCTCTCCATCCCATCCTCGGAGAGTGAGGAGAATGTACGCCTGCGGGGCCGCTTCCAGCGCCAGTTCAAGCGGGCGGCACACAGCGAGCGCCTCCTCACAAACCCCACCAACACCACTCCCAAAGGCAAGTCCTGGGGGGTCTGACAGTGAAAGGGGTGAGCTCACGTCTCTGGGGGCCAAGCTATGTCTTGTGATGGCTTTGATCGCTGCTCACAGAAATATTCTTTTCCTCTTCACTGGGACCTGTTTTGCTTTGCAGACGTGGATGGAAACGACCTCATGTCGTACTGGCCAGCTCTGGGTGAGTGTGAGGTTCACCCCTGCTCCCTGCAGAAGTGGGGCTCCGAGCGGAAGCTGGGATTTGACATCAACAAAGATGCAGCCAACAATAATCAGCCAGACCTGGCCTTGACCAGTGGGGATGAGAACTCCCTCACCCAGACCCAACGGCAAAGAAAAGGTAACGGCCTGGAGCAAGTGGGCAAGGGTGGCCTTGCCTGTCTCAGGTTGACATGGCCCTGAAGGCTCAGTATCAGATCCATCTTGTCATGTTTTTGGGGAGGTATGACTTGTCTCCTCCAGCTTTTGTGCTCCTTTCACTGTTACGCAGAGATTTGACTTCTCTTTCTGTCTGGTGCAGGGATTTTGAAGAACCGCCTCCAGTACCCTCCGACTCTCCAAGGCCTGCCGTCTGTCGGCAGGATGACCAATGAGCTGACGTGGTACAAGACCTCCACGCTGGGTCACAGGGCTGTCCCCGCTGCCTCCTACGGCAGGATCTACTCTGGGGCAGGCAGTCTGTCACAGCCAGCCAGCCGGTACTCATCGCGGGAGCAGCTCGACATGCTGATGAGGAGACAGATGTCCCGGGAGCAGCTGAGCAGACACAACTCAGGAGAGTGCTTGGAAGCCCTGCCCAGCCGGCATGGCTCCAGGGAGGAGCTGGACACTATCCCCAGCAGACATGGGTCTACTGAACACCTGGAAAGTATCCTGAGCAGACACGGGTCTAGGGAAAACTTGGACATACTCGCTGCTAGGCCCAGTCAGAGAGATCATGGGAACACGCTGCCCCGGAGGCAGGGCTCCAGAGACCACCTTGACACTTTACCCTGCAGATTTGGGTCAAGAGAGCAGCTAGACTGTGGGCCAGTAAGAGAGGTCTCTAGAGAGTGGCTAAACACATTGCCAAGTAGGCAAGTGTCCAGAGACCGAATAGACACATTGCCAAATCGAGATACTTCTCGAGAAAAATTGGATTTGCTCTCTAGAAGACAGCCTTCAAGGGACCAGCTAGCATCAGCTAGACAAACTTCAAGGGAGCAGCTGGACTTTCTGTCCAGAAGATCTAATTCCAGAGAGCCTCTGGACACAGTGCCTAGCAGGCATCCCTCGCAGGACAACCTGGGGAGTCTCTCTAGGAGGCAGTTGTCTAGGGAAAGCCTAGAGCCGCTGTCGAGGAGGCAGCCTTCTAGAGAGAACCTGGAGGCTATTCCCAGCCGACATCCTTCCACTGAACAGTTAGATATCCTTTCTTCCATCCTTGCTTCTTTTAACTCCTCCGTCCTGTCCTCGGTGCAATCTTCCAGCATGCCTTCAGGCCCCCAGACCACTGCCACCCCATCTGCCGTGCAGACCTCCTCGACACCCTCTGCAGTGTGCCCCTCAACACCTCGCTCCACCACCTCTCACAGCATTTCAGAGCTGTCGCCAGACTCAGAGTAAGTGTGTCCCTTCCTCATCCAGGCCTTGTTCAGCTGGTTTTGTGCGTCGTCCTCCTGCCTGGCTCCCTCCCAAAGTGGGTTTTGTCTGGGTAGAGAAGGCTGTGTAGGGATGAGCCCCCAGGGTGAGTGGCAGGTGTCTCCTAGTGCTGAATAGTGACCGGGTAGTGAGAACCCTCAGGTGTGACAGCTCTGGGCACTTGCAGTGCAGCGTGGGCTGAAACGTCAGCGATGTGATGGCCCTTACCTGTGGCCTGTGGGGGCTCAGGGAAGATGCTTCGTGCAGCCAGGCTGACCTTACAGCTGGTCTCCTTGCTCAGTGCCGGCTGTAAGTTCCAACGAGCGGATGTATGTGAGGGCTGGGCTGGCTGGAGAGGAGGAGGGGGCCCGAGTCCTGCAGGAGCCCTGCCTGCCCCGCCATGTTTCTCCCCAGGGACCCCATTCCAATCTCACTTCTTCCTCTCCAGCTCTGCTCCCTGTTGGTACTGGTGCCATCCTGTCCCATCCGATCCCGTCACTCCTTTCCAATTCCCTGAACTCGGGGATTTGGCAACAGTTTTCCTGCCCTGACACGGGAGTGGATTTCTGCTCTCTCCCCATCTGGCATAGCTGGGGGAGGCAGCTGTGGAGCCCAGGGGAGATGCCACGGTTTAACACTCTTTTTCTTTCCTCCGAGAAGAATAGCAAGAAACGAGGGCCATTCCTGAGGGGCCAAAGATGTCCACAAGAAAGACAGAAGAAGCTGGGCCCTTTGCCTGGCCAGGCGCTGCCAGCTAAGGTTTGGTGTCCCCAGGGGTCAGGGGCCAGAACTGATGGTGGTCAGAGGCCCAAAACCAACCCTGCCTTCCCCTGCCCCCGGGGCTGAGGGGCCGGTAGCCCGCACCACCCACTGCTGGGAGCCTCCAGGCTCTTGGCTGCCGCCGTGCTCCCCACCGTCGCCTGCCCAGTGTGACAGGTATGGCAGGAGCTTGCTTGGGCGAGGGTGGCATCGCCGAGCATTTCCTCTGTGAGATGTTTGTGTGCGGTGTGTGCGTGTGTGTGCACGGAGGGTGGGCAGGGCAGGGGGGACGGAAACAGCCCAGGATGTGGGGGCGGGGGAGGGTTTTTCTACCTTTTTGTATCTTTGTAATCAGAGAGAAGAGAAATTTCTATGGTTATTTTTACGGATGGTCTGTTCCCAGGACCTTTCACCAACAGCCCTTTGCCAGCTTTCCTGGGGGTACCAGGGACTGTGATCCTGGTGGACTGGAGAGACAGTGCCAGGCAGCCCTTACGGCTTTGCCAGCACTGCTTCGTCCCATCCGCACTGCGGGACAGCTGGCCCCACTGCCCCTTGCCCTCCCATCGTGCAGCTCCACCCGTGTCTCGATGTGGCCTGGCATCCCTCAGTCCTCTGCAGCCATGCTGGCCCTGCAGCCAGGACCCCTCTGCCCTCCCGTAAGACCCCCTTGGGGCTGCCTCCCGCCCGTGAGCCAGGACTGTGCACCAGGGAGAGCACAAACAAGCGGGGCAGTGAATTGAGCACCCACTGGGGGAGGAAGCAAACTTTGCTCTTCAGTCCCATCGTGTACCAGGGTGGTCCCACTCCTGTAAGTGCTGGTTTCCTCTGCTCAGCAAACAAGGAGCAAACAAGCACTGTTTGTACCCACTGTATGTTGTGCTCTTTAACCTGATTGTTACAGAGCAAACCTCTGTTGCTTTGTGGGTCCAGGCAAGGAGCTGGATGACCCTAGCTCTGCTCAGCAGCAGATTAGGCCGTTCCCAGAGCCAGCACTCACTCTGCAGAGGATTAACATCTACAAGAACATGATGTGACTCCAGTCTCAGGGTCCAGCATTGCCCACAAGTGTTGTATCTAGCTGGTTCCCTGTGGGCTCTGCGTACATACGCACATGTCCCTGTGCTCTTGGGCTGGCAGAGGACCCCAGGTCAGAGTGGCCTGGATTTTGGGAGATGAACAGCACTTTGCCCTCGGGAAATCCAGGCTCCCCTGATGGTTTCTCTGCTCTGGTGGGGGTCTGGCCCTGGTCTTCCGCTGGCCCTGCTGCAAAGTGACACTCCTCTGTGCCTATCCCAGCCTTGGACCAGGAGCATTCGGCTCGGGGGGGCCGGCACGCTCCCTTTCAGCTGCCGAGAGTGATGCCTCTGCTCAGTTGCCCCCATGGTGCTCTTGGAGCTGCATGACAGCATGCTCCTTACTGCCTTACTGCCATACTGCCGTAGCATCTTACTGCAGCCTAGCCTGACATGTTTACAGGAGGACCTGTGCTGCTGTCCTCCAGGCCCCCATGGGAGGCTGAGGCCTCTTGGCTACCTCCCTGAGTCAGCAGGGAGAGTGTGGAGGGAACTGAAGGGCTGGGTGATGGGGGTGCCATGGGCCTGGCAGGGGCTGCCTGCCCCAGCACAGCCCTGACGAGGCAGGCTCGCCACCACCCTTCTCCCAGGAGTGGGGCAGGAAGGGCCTGCTGACGTGTTTACATGCCATTCAGGACCAGCAGCACAGAGGGAAAGCAAGCCGGCCCCACATGCTGGGAACAGCCTGGCCCCTCCATGCTGCCTGTCTTTGCCTTTGGGAACAAGCTCGTTTACATGTTTCTCTCCGGCTGTGCAGCACTAGTGCCAGAGTCCTGGGGTCCTGTTCCTGCTATGCTGTAGGGCCCATGTTTCTGCCAAGTTGGGCACAGGGGCTCTTTGTGTTCATGCCAAATGGAGAGCAAGTGACAAGTGCCAAAAAGAAGAGAGCAGCGGAGCCGATGGCTGTCCCCACAGAACTGGGATGGTCATGAAGCAGGAGTCAGTCTGTGGCTTGGTCCCTGATTGTAGTGCTGTGGCCTGGGCTCTGGGGAGCATCCTCCTTGGGTTTGGGTTTGTTTTGTTGGCGGGTTTGGTTGGGTATTTTTTTTCCTCTCTCCATCTCCCAATTCTGTGAGCAGGGAGCAGGGAGATGCCTGCAGCCCCCCGCCCCTGGCTGTGTAAAAGTGTGTCATGGAAGCGCCAGATTTGGAAATAAAAGTATATAAAATGCTGCTGGTCTCTGCTGTCTCTCCTTGTGCTCGGGATTCATGGCTGGGGCCTCGAGGGCAGCGCCGGGGCTCAAGGCAATGCTGTAAGGGAGCTTGGGCAGGAGCTCGCAGCCAGCTCCTGGGCTGAATGGGAGTCACTGTGGCCTGGGGCAGGGTGACCAGGTGACAGGAACTTCAGTTGCTGCTCCAGCTGTTTTCACCCAGCGATGGTGGTCAGCTGCGGAGGTGCCAAACGGCCCCAGCCGTGGGTGGCGGGTCTGCGGTGCCATGGTGGCTGTGGTTAGCTGTGGGGCCCATGTCTGGAGCAGCCAGCACCCCCAGCCAGCAGCCTGGGAGAGGCCAAGGGGAGAAAATCGACTGTCCAAAAGCAGTGTAACCTCAGCAGGGGTGATGTCGGCTGCGGAGAAGGAGAGAGAAGCATGAGGAGGAGAGGCCGAGTGTGATCCTGGTGCCTTCCGTCCCTCCCTTCCTTGCTGTTGGAGGGGAAAGAGCAGGTGAGCAAAGGGCAGTATTGATCCACGGCACCCTGAGCAAGGGTCACCATCAATTGGCATTCCTCAGTCCTTCACAGTCTCTGTCCTTAGCGCTGGCCTGAGCCTGACCCAGCTGAGGGCAGCCCCTGAGCACTGGGGGGCTGGACAAACAGTGGCCTCCAGGGAGTCGTGTTGGTGTTGTGGAGAGCTGCAGTCCTGTCCTGCAGCCCTTCCCGAGGCTGGCCCAGGGGTGAGGGGCCAGGGAGAGCTGGTGGGGGGCCAGGGCGGCCGAGGGGGAGCCACAGGCAGAGCAGCTGGGCCAGGGTGTGGGTGGGGGCCTGGAGGCTGGAACACATGGAGCAGCGCCGCAGGCTGGGGACAGGTAGCGGCGATAAGGAGGCAGTAAATGGCACCCAGTGCTATCAGTTGCTACCAAGCAGGAGCCCTGTGATGGCCTCTGCTTCGGTGCCAGGTGAGCAGATAAACGATGGGAAGGCACCAGCCACGTGCGGGTGCCTGTGTTGGCATCAGCGTGCCGCTACCCAGCCACAGTGGGACTGATGGACGTGAGGGTGGGACAGCAACGGGCTGGGGATGTGCAAAAGGCTGCAGGGAGCGGGCTCAGCCCCGCTGCTGAAGGGCAGCCGAGGCGTCTGCGTGTGGCTGCTGTGAGACTCGGGTCATGCCAACCACAGGGAGAGCCAGAGTGGCCACGGGTTGCCCCTCACCCAGACAGAAGGGATGGGAATGAGTTGTTCTGACCCTAGAGAGCGTGACCCTGGGTGTTACCGCTTGTGCCATTCACCAGCCCCATCCCACCACCCAGGACACCCAGGACTTCCAGGCACCTGCCCTGCCCCAGCTTTACCTTGCACCCTGGCACCAGTCAGCCCAGCCCACAGGTGCCTGGATTTCCGCTGCCATGTCCCCATGGGCCTGGGCCAAGCATGACTCAGAAAGCTCCGAAACCAATGGCAGTACCAGGTCGTGGTGGAGCCCAGGAAGGTGTGATGGGTTCAGCGGGACTGGTGCCCGCTGGGGACCTTTGGAACAAGATAACAGCTGGGTCTGCACGTGCTGTGGGAGAGCGGGGCAGTCCACAGGGCACAGCACACCCCTTCCCAGCAGGTAAGCAGGGGCCAGAGCCTGTGGAAGATACCCTGGATTCCACAGCTGGAGGCTGCCAGTAACCCAGGCACAGCTCCTGCTCCAGGACATGGGGTGGAGAGGGGACGCCCATGGGAGCCCTGGGGGCACAGGAGGGTGATGGTGGGACCCCAAGCAATGTCCTGGGGACGTGAACGCCCAGCAGCTTTTGGCAGGGGGCTGGCACCAGGACGTGCAAGAAAAACCTGGCGTGTAAGGGGGCACCCAAGACATAGCTGCAGGCCAGTAGCTGAGACTGGCCAGGACAGTCCCCAGGATGGGATGGCCCTGGGGACGGTGATGACAGCCCTGGGCCTGCCACAGCTGCAGAATCCAGCACAACAGGGCACCAGGGGAGCATGGTGGGTGCTGTGCAGCAGCGGGACTGGGAAGTGGGCAGCTCCTCAGCAGACCAGGAGGGAGGGCAGGAGGCAGGGAGCGGTGTCTCAAAGATCACGGGCTGGTATTAATAAATAGGAGGGAGCAGAGTGTGCACCTGGCCGGTGTGACCAACTTGGGCACAGCAGGTAGGAGGGCCGGGGGCAGTGCAGGGATTCGGGCTGGCACAGTGGCTGTGAGTGGCTCATGGGTCTGATTGCAAGAGGGAGAGCATCTCGGGACCCAGCCAGGGCCACCAGCCGGGTGGATCTGTACAGAGACACCTTGGTCCCACTGTTAGAGCCTTGTGAAGGCAGAGCCCCCAGCCCAGCCCTGCTTCTCCATACCCACGGGCTCACCCTCTGCTCTGCAGTGCAGGGGGCTGGGGAGGGCGCTGGTGGAGAGATGGTGAGCCTGTGACGCTTGCCGGGCGTTGACATTCCTGCTCCCCTCATGTGTAAAGGGACAAAGTCTGCAGATGGGGTTGTGGGGTGGCTGGGGCTTTGCTTGGTGGCTGCGCTGGCTTGCTGCCCTGGCTGCGCTGCGGTATGTGGACGAGGAGAGTGGTTGGCACTGAGGTGGGTCCTGCGTGGGCAGGCAGAGGGGGAGCCCCCCCGGGGCAGCTCTGCTGGCAGCCCCCACCCATGTACCCCAGCGGGACGGATGGGGCCAGCACGGGGCAGGAGCGGGCAGCGCTGATCACCAAGGCCTTAGCTCCCTCCCTGCCCACACACCGGCTGCCTGACACTTTCCATCATGAGCTGCTGCTGCTGCTTCAGGACTCCCAAAACTCAGCTCACTGCTGGCCTTGGGCCCAATTTTGCATGCCTGGCTGGGATGGGATGGCTCTGTGGGGCGGGCAGGGCTGCAGGGGGGGCTGCGGGGTGGGTAGGGTGCTGGGTGCCCCCAGCTGCGGGGACATGGCTGAGCTGTCCTTCACCCCCCTGCAGTGAGCTGGTACGTGGGACAGCTGGGCAGCCATGGTGGCAGAGATGGCGCTGAGCCACCGGGCACCCCGTGAGGTGCTGAGTGAGGCTGACCTGGAGGAGGTGGCCCAGCGGAAACCTCCCGCCGAGCCCTCACTGCGTGGCTGTCTCCGCAAGACCAGGTAGGACTGCACTGGCCAGCGGGGATGTGCCTGGACCCCACCAGGCACTGTGAACCCCAGTCCCACTGCCACGGGGAGCCTGGCCCTGGCTGTCCCAAGCCCTGTGGCAGACACAGTGCAGACCTGGGGGTTGGTTCCCCCAAGCCAAACACCCATGTCCCCACTCTGTCCTCCTGCCTGGAGAGACACCTGTCTCCAGTGGCTGGACCGGGGATCCCACGGGACCCATTTCTTCCCATGGAACCCCACCCACCCCCCACTGATGTCCCCAAGCCCTTGTGCTTGTGCTCAGCCCTGGCTCCTGCTCCTTCCCCGCCAGATGCTCGGCCTCCACCGCCAAGTCCCTGCTCTTCCGGTTCCTTCCCTTCCTGCACTGGCTGCCCCGCTACCCAGTCAAGGACTGGCTCCTGGGGGACATTGCCTCGGGCTTCAGTGTGGGCATCATGCACCTGCCCCAGGGTGAGTGATGCCATGTCCAGGCTGCTGGGGGCTTCCTGCAGGTGTTGGGGGGGGGTGTGCGAGGGCTCGGCCATCTGTGATGTGTCTCCCTTCTCCACCACGTCCAGGGCTTGCCTACGCGCTGCTGGCTGGGCTGCCGCCAGTCACCGGTCTCTATTCCTCCTTTTACCCCGTCTTCCTCTATTTCTTCTTTGGGACATCCAGGCACAACTCCGTGGGTGAGCTGAGGGGCCACATGGTCCCGTGGGGATGGTGGGGAGGGAACAAGGGTGAGAGGTGCAAGCCTTCATTTACAGCACAGAATTGCTGCATCAGTGGTTGGGGGAGGACCTTTCGTGCCTTTACTTTACCTCACCAAGTAAGTGCTTGTCCAAATCAGAGCCAAAGCACAAAGCACACCATCTGCAGCCACTTTGAGGCTGACCCAAGGGAACAGGTGCCTGTGAACCTCAGAGAGGTCCTGGTGCTGACCTCGGGCTCCCTGCCCACACCTTGCCTGTTCTCAGGCCCCTTTGCTGTCATCTCCGTCATGATCGGGAGTTTGACAGACTCCCTGCTGCCCAGTGAGAACTTCCTGGAGTCTGTCAATGGCAGCAATACAACAGTCAATGAGGCACAGCGGGACGCTGCCAGGGTGGAGCTGGTGGCCACCATCACTGTCCTGACGGGCATCTTCCAGGTAAGGGGGCTTCAGCCTAGCCTGGCAGGGAACGGGGAGCCATGGTGTCCCAGGGCCACAAGCTGTGGGTCACTTCTGCCACCTCTCCTTCCAGGTGGCCCTGGGCCTCCTGCAGTTTGGCTTTGTGGTGACCTACCTCTCGGATCCACTGGTGCGTGGCTATACCACTGCTGCCTCTGTGCATGTCCTCGTCTCACAGCTCAAGAATGTCTTCGGGGTCTCCGTGGGCGAGTACTCAGGGCCACTTTCAATGTTCATGGTGAGTGGGGCCTCCCTGCTGCCCAGGACCCCCCAGGCACTCACTTGTGGGACACATAGAGGCTCCCAAAAACCTGCCAGGGAGGCATCTGCTTTCCAGAGCCTGTCCCCTCCTCCTGTGTCCCCTAGACCTTCATTGAGATCTGCCGGAAGCTGCCAGAGACCAACGTGGGCACCCTGGTGACAGCCATCATTGCCATGGTGGCCATCTTCATCGTGAAAGAGCTCAACCACAAGTTTGCTGCCAAGCTGCCCATGCCCATCCCCATCGAGCTTATCACGGTACACAGAGCTGTCCCCGCTCCCCGTGCAGATGTAGTCCTGTCCCCTCCAGGGTGGGGAGGGGTGGGATGGGGTGCCTTGGCAAGTGCAGGTCCAGGGCATGCATCCCCTCCTCCTCCACCATGGTCCCTGTGCAGGAAGACCCTGCCTCACCCCAGCCATCCTCCCCCAGATCATCATCTCCACCGGCATCTCCTACGGTGTCAACCTGAAAGCCAAGTTTGGCATCTCTGTGGTGGGCAACATCCCCAGCGGGTGAGCAGGGCTGGGCGGTGAGGGTGGCTGCACCGGTGCACCACGCTGCCCATGGGCTCCCCTTTTGAGGCCCGTCTCCCTGTCTTGGCTGTAGGTTGAAGCCGCCCGTGGTCCCTAATGTCAGCTACTTTGGGCAGGTGGTGGGTAATGCCTTCGCCATTGCCGTGGTGGGCTACGCCATCTGCATCTCCCTGGGCAAGATCTTTGCCCTGAAGCACGGCTACAAAGTGGACAGCAACCAGGTGATGCTCTGACACGCAGGGCCCCTTCACTGGGTTAAAACCAAGCTTGTACCTCTTGCAGCCAGGGGAAGGCATGATGCTCCCCCACCACCTCTCTGTCCCTGCAGGAGCTGATCGCGCTGGGCCTCTCCAACTTCCTGGGGGGCTTCTTCCAGTGTTTTGCCATCAGCTGCTCCATGTCACGGAGTCTGGTGCAGGAGAGCACAGGGGGCAACAGCCAGGTGGGCCTGGGCAGCACTGCCTCCCTTCACAGGGCTGGACCAGGGGCAAGGACTGCAGCGAGCCATGTGGGGCTCACCTATCACCTCCCACTCTCCTTCCTCTCAGGTAGCCGGTGTCATCTCATCCCTGGTCATCCTGGTGACCATCCTGAAGATCGGAGAGCTCTTCCGGGACCTGCCCAAGGTACATCTGGTCCCACAGACTCCATGTCACATCCCACCCTTGCACCCATCCCATGGCAAGGTGGTGTGGCAGGAGAACTGCCAAGGGCCCTCCCCAGACCTGCCCTCAGCATCCTCATAGCTGCAGGGACTTCTCTCCTAGGCCATCTTGGCTGCCATCATCATTGTCAACCTCAAGGGCATGTTCAAGCAGTTTGATGATCTCCGCATGCTCTGGAAGTCCAACAGGGTGGACCTGGTGAGGCACTAATCAACCCCAGGGCTTTGCTCTTGTCCCTGGAGAGAATTTCTCCAACCACCCTGAGGCTTGCAGGTGCTGGTGGGGAGGCCACGCTGCAGCTGACTCTGTCCCCCTTCCAGATGGTCTGGATTGTGACATTTGTGGCCACCCTCCTGCTGAACTTGGACATTGGCCTGGGGGCCTCGGTGGCCTTTGGGCTGCTCACTGTCATCTTCCGTACCCAGCTGTGAGTACCCCAGGGCTGGGGCTGGTGTCACGTCCCAAGGGCAGGGGAAGCCCATGGTGACCTCAGTCCCTTGTTCTGCTCCCCACAGCCCCCACTACTCCATCCTGGGGCGCATCTCCAACACCAACGTCTACAGGGACGTGGCCGAATACCAGATGGTAACAGCACTGGTGGTGGGAGAAGAGCTGCCTGCGATGGTGGGGGGGCAGTTCAAAGCACCCCCAAGGGCTGTTTGCTGGAGAAAGGAGTGGGGGGCATTTTGGGGGAGGGAGAGAAGGGGAGCAGGGGGCTCTGTCCCTGGGGTAGCACCCTTCTTATCTGCCCCCAGGCACAGGAGGTCCCTGGTGTGAAGATCTTCCGCTCCTCCTCCACCCTCTATTTTGCCAATGTGGAGCTGTACGCTGAGGCTCTGAAGAAGAAGGTAGAAGAGCTACCAGGCCCCCCACCCCGGTTCTCCCCATGTCCGTGTCCCCCCCCCCCC